TAAACGAGTTGACTTAGCGAAAAATCATTTCAGACCATTTTTGTAGATCGTTCAATTCCCTACAAGACTATGTATTGACTTTAACAAAATACAAAAATTCGTTGAAACGCAATAAAATTATTTATTTGTATTATTTAAATAGGAAACCAAAAATCACGATAAGACACCTCTTAACATTTAAATTAAGAGCTGCCTTTTTTACAAGCTAATTTTTTTGTCATTTTGAACAGTAACAGAAAGAAAGTTTTGCCCACCCTAATGCAGGTGTTTATTAATAATAATGTGAACTTAACCACAACAATAAAGATGTAACAGCATTGAAGGAAAAAATAAAGAGTAAATATCGAAACATTTTTAAAGTTTAAAATTTTATTGATTATAAGCCGCAGTATTTCTTCTCAGTTCCTAAAATATCAAGAAAACTGCGGGCGAGTTTTCAGACCTTATGACAAATGTTTTTAAGTTCAGTTCAGTAAATCATGTGAGAGTTTATTCTTTTAACCTTTCTAAACATAAACGAAAAATAGCATGTGAAGTTTCAGAGGTAAAGTTTAGAATGACATGTGAAAACAGAAAAACAATCTTATTAAGTGGAAGCGAATCAAATTGCGAATAACTGTCTACCATCCATGCAATTTACTGTAACCCCTACACATCCGACAATTGAATAAGTGGAAAAAGAATGAAGTTACTCCAAGCTGATCTAAACATAGCATAATAGATACAATATTCAACGTATCTCTCAGCCATATTACTATACATATATGTTAGTTATTACTATTAGCAAATCCAATGGAATTAAGTTTTCATCAAAATTAAAAAATAAGATTAAAAAGTGATAGATATATAACGTCGTAGAATCTGTAAAAACCATCCAATCCAATATGATAAATAGTAGTGATGCACCTGATAGTAATCTTGCTGGGCAGAACCCAAAAAAAAAAAACGTTTGGGTGTTTCATTCCCACCAGCCACTAATGCTGATGGACGGGCAGTCTCTCCGG